CCCCAAAACCCCAAAACCCCAAAACCCCATGCCACTGTAATAAAGTTAAATAGATGTTATGAAATTAAGTATAGCTTCATGCAACATACTCATAGATTGAGCTATCCTAGACATTTCTCTTAAGATAGTCCTTATCAATCAGTGACTCAATCCTAGTCTTTATGTAGGCTGTGTCAATCGGGAAGTTTAATCTCTCATATAGGCATTTTATCAGATCATTATGAGGTAGCTGTTTGAATTCTTTCATTATCTTGGTGGCTGCAGCATCAACCTAGAAGCGTCTATCCTCCTTAACTCTATCTTCAGTCTCCTTCTACTCCTCCTTAATGTTTTTATCAGATTTGATTGCTTTATTTATGTTAAGTCTCTTAAGTTTGGATGTAAACTACTCATTTAATGCATAAATGTCATCCTTACCAACTATCATAGAGTCAGGATTGCCACTTTCCTTAATGAGTAATTTAATTTCAGAACTAGCCAGAGCCTAAAAGCCAGACTTCAAATAGTCCTCTACAATATTGGTTTATTTCATTATATCATTCATCGTCACCTTGCTCTGGTTATTGAAAGCTAAAAGGATCAGTGATTATACACCTGAAGCTTCAAATTGGTAGCTTGCCTTACCATTTTCAAAGTTTCCCTTTACCAAACTAGAACAGTAATCTATAGACCAATTGAGAGTTCTACCTTTAAAAAGATTCTTATAGTACTCAAGATAGTTTTATGTAATATCTGAGATCTATTTGGGCAGTATAAAGCTATTCTAAGCTTTACTGATTGGCCAAGAATTTGAGGAAAGCACGAAAAACTCCATTCCTAACGGCAAATCTTTATTTTTCTTCATATCTAAGAATTCCTTAGTTAAATTGCCTGAGTTTTAAATATCAACAAACATTTGTTCTACTCTTTAAGTGAATAAATTTCCACACTCATTCTTTAGCTTAGATATGAACTCTTTTTCCTCATCCCAAGACTCAGATTTTCTTTTAATTAATCTTTCGCTTAGGTACTTAGTGAAGAAAGCCTCAAAAGTGTCCTTGGAATGTAGGTATCTGAACACATTGATAATAGTCTCATGCTTTACTCTTTTAATATCTCTTCTAAGTTGCTTATTCTTGCTACTCACATTGTCTTTTTACATCAGCTTGTCAATAAAGATAGCTAGATAGTTGGAACTCTACTCTGGTGAGTTATCAACATTCAAAAATGACTCAAATCCCTCTCTTTAGGCATATCTGAAATCATCCTTATTCTAAAAGCACTCAGCTAAGATCTTATCAGTAAGTTCCTTCAACTCAAATATCTTCTTTACTGCTACTATAGTAGAACTCTTTTCATCAAATTTAATGCTCTACAATAAGGCTTGACCTTCTTACCTGATGAATAAAACCCATTATGTTTTGAGATTAGTAAGTAGCTTGGTCTCTAATAGGAAGTTATACAAGAGTGTAAGTGTTTCGAAGTTTGAACTATGCACAAGCTAAGCGAATCCTTTCTCTAGGATTTGCTAGATATGATCCTTGATTAGTACTTATTCGAGTGTGTTAAGAGTCAGATCTAAAGTTCTCTCATTAAGATAAAGTTTTACAATCAAAGACTCATTTTCAATTATGTCATAAATCTTATGAAGGTAGATAGGTATCTCAAGCTTATTTATCAATTGATTTGACTGCAATCTAAAGAAATGCTAGGTCTTTTCAATGTACTTGACTTCAAATTGCTATTAGTAAAGATCTAGCTAGATCAGCATTTTTATAATGTCCATGATTGGTATAAAATTAGCTCTCTCGGTGGTTTGCTTGTCAAGAAACATCTATCTGTTTTATGTCAGTGAGAATATCATCTCATCAACTAGTTAACCAATAATTTTCTGGCCTCTAGGAGATTGAGAGAAATGAGCAGAAAAGGCTTGCAAGCCGATGTTCCAAATCTTAAATGAATCCTCAGTTAATTTTGAATTAGCTTGGTCAATCTCCATCTTGTATTCATTATTCAGTCTCTAGTGCCTATTGAAGTCAATTATCATATGATTTTCTAGGTATTAAAACACTTCTGATAGTCTTAAGGATCTAACACAGTGCTGCTTCCAAAAGGATTGCACGAGCTTAATCAGATCTTTATTCTACTTTTTCTCCTATTCATTAACCAAATGGGCAAAACCCTCGTCTATTATCTAAGTTATTCCGATCTTAACTATATCAAACAGCTCATGAGATCTTCCTAGTTGGCATAGTGTTCTTATGTCATTGTGCAATGTGCTTATATTTCTAATAAGCAGATCGTATTGCATCTTTCCCGCCATTTAGAGAGCATCTTGAAGGCGTTTGAACGATGCCTGTTGAAGAGGTCTAGTGTCTGGCAGTTGATTCTTAATTTGAGATAGAAGAGGAAGATCGAGTGTGATTTTGACTTTCTTTCTAATTTCTGGTTCTTAAATTCTAAGGTGCGAGTATGTCTGCTTGGTTGACTCCTTTTGTGCCATTATTATGATAATTAATTAACTTTAATTTTCATCTCAATATTTATTCTCAATGTTATCCAGAGGGGTTTTGGGGTTTTGGGGTTTTGGGG